CCAAATCATGTTTTGTGAGGTCACAGTGACCTTGACCTTTGACCGCCAAATTCTAATCAGTTCATTCTTGAATCCAAGTGGACCTGTGTACCAAATCTGACTAAAGTCCTTCGTGGAGTTCCTGGGATATCTCATTCACCAGAATGACACAGACAACCCAATAACATAATGCTTCCAGTCACAGCTGTCACCAGTACAGAGGCATGAAAACATCCCGACTCTACTGAAGCACTGTGCTCACCTCTAGCTGAGCAAGCCTCTCTCGAACAGAGCAGTAGTGCTGATCATCCACCTGCACTGCTCTTCTCATCACCTGGCCCATCTCGCATATTCGCTCCACCTGGCTCTGCACTTCCTGGAGAACAGTCAGAAAACAAAACGTTTCCCAAAGTCATTGCATTTTAAACTGCACGACCATTAATTTGGAACCCTAAGCTACAAATGACAGAGAATTGTAAAATGTGAAGACAGTCAGCGTACTTTTGCGTGGTTCTCGTGGAGGCTGAGCACAGGCTTGGTGTCCAGCTCCTTCTTTGCCATCATCAGCTGGAGCATCTGCTTGCGATATCGACCCATGATCAACTCTAGTGCGTACTGGTGTTCTTCAAGAGATAACCATAGTTCTGCAGAGACAGTAATAGAGAGCGTTAGCCAAGATATAAAGCACCAGCCGTACAATCAACCGAACAGAGTGGTGTCTTTTAACCTTTATTCTCCTGCTGTAGCTCCTTGATTTGAGTGTTTTCCTGAGTCAGAAGGACATGAGGCTTGTATTTTGTCAGCTCCTGAATCTCTGAAGTGTCTTCTGTGTGCTGAGAGGAGAGAGCCGCATAGAGCAGTGAAGATAAATGATAATGATTACAAAGATATGTTGCTCTGTTTTAATATTAAATCAACCATGACATAATGAAATGTATAAACTGTAAAATCACATACTGTCAGCATATTACACACTGAAAAACACCTTAATTCGAAAGCGGTATAGTGATGCTACAACAGAGTATCATTGAAGCTACTGATTCAATGATACTCTGTTGTAGCAAAACTACCACAAAAATATGAATTGTTTCCATGACATTCACAACATCTAATTGTTGTAAGTCTCCCTTTCACCAAGGTCAGATCGAACTGGTCAGCCAGCAATTTTTTCTTTGCATTTTTTTAAAAGCAAATAAACACCTAAACAAGCAAAATACAACTAGAAGTGTGAGAAAATATTGATACACTAGAGTATCGCGGTTTTATGTCTTCTGATACTTTATCCATCATCAAAAACATTGTATCAATATTTGAATATATATGTCATACAAGATATAAAATTAAATCTGTATCAATCAATGTCATGCCAGCCAAACTCCATTCAACAACAAAGGAATGTAACGTTGTGGGTTATCTCAAACAAACACATGCACAAAACATTGGAGCAAACGACTGTTGATAGATTTAAGGATTTTTAAGGAAACTGGGCACAGAGGTTACCAAACACACAGCACCTCGTTCCATCAGAATTTGCTTTTGGCATTAGTCCACTTTTCCCTTTATGTTCACAAGGGAAAACTGTGGTCATCAGAGGAAACCTCAACTCAATCCTGTCGCACCATTTCTGTGTGTGTGTGCCACTGGGCAGTGCATCAGACGTGAATAAAATCTTAAAGAAACCGTGTTGGGGTGGTTCTGGTCCTTACCTTGTCTGGAGGAGCATTTCCCACCTCTCTCATGCTCTGCACTCTCTGGCTGAGAGCCCCGGACTGCTCTATCAGTCCCTCGGCAGCCGTATCGTGCTCTTTCAGCCTCTCTAGAAGGGTCCGAGCATCGCCCAACACTTTTTCCAAAGTGCAGGCCATACTGGAGACTGACAACTCCTGTACAAACGAGCTAACGACACTTCACACTGCAGGCTCGATTCAAATTCCTCGCAGTCTTAGCTTAGCTTACGTTTAGCCTCAGTTAGCCGAGGCAGCTGCAATGATTTTGTAGCAACGTGTACAAACTATTGCGGGCCTTTGGAAATATTTCTCGATAGACAGAATAAGTACAGTACATAAAAATAAAAAAAAGTGTCCCCCTGTTTGTTGTCAAGTATGTCGTTTCCGTGTGAGACTTAATGTTAACGTCACTTCCGTATCTTCTTCTTCTTTGCATTCACAAACTGCAAACCAAAGTCGAGGGAGGTGGCGCCATCTATTGGAGAGTTTATTTACAGCATAGACATATATACATGTATATATGTCTATGATTTACAGTGGCATCCGTGAGATTGATAAACTGGGCCAAACAGACCAAGATCCTCAAAGTAACACAGCTGTACAGGAGGGAACAAAACTTTTCAAGAGTCCAACCTGGAGAGGATTAAAAGTTTAAACCAATTAACTTGACTTTTTTCCCCAGAAGAAATTCTTAACAAGTAATTAATCATGGTCTTTAATTAATGTAGTTATCAACACGTTTTCTGTACCCCCAAAAGTGTTATCAAACCAGAGGGTGTGTTCGTTTACTTGTTTTTTTTTTTAAACGTTCCCTTCTTTTACACTGTGGGAGATTATTTTAATCCAGTTCATGTCTGACATAGAATTGACGATATACCATGTTATGTCAGGTTGCTGTGTAAATTTCTTTCTCATCTCACAGCACCACACATACAACTATAGTAGGTTATAAGAAAGAATGCATTTAGCATTTTGATTATATTCTTATTTATAAAGTCCATCTATGGTTGAAAATGAAGTAAACTGAAGAAAATTGCGGGATCTCAAGTAAAATACATTTCGAGACTTGTGCACATTGGAAGGTTGTTATTTATGAGAGGGGAGAGGGTGGTGCAAAGATGGACGGGGTTATTTCAAATATTTTTTTAAGCACTGGGGAGAGAGTTATGTCGAGAGAGTTATGTCAGGGGAGGGGCATTGTGTAAGCATTATCAGCATTTAAAGTCTCCATAGGTTCGATCATTAATATTGAAATAGAAAGCCCTTGAGGCTTGGAATGACATTTCACTTATAATCGACTTCATTCTTGAATTCACTCCCATGTTGCAACGTGTGGCCTCAGAAACTCTACTATAGGAGGAGAACAGTAGCTGTCAGGGAATTACATGAGGGGCACGTGTTCATTAAGTTTTCTAGAATTAGTGAATAAAGTGTCGATGATAACAACATTTACACAACACAGCACGTTTATATCTGCTTTCTGACCCACGTAGCAAGTTACAAGGACATAAGCTATAATTATGACCGCACTCCTGTATGCTCAGTCCACCGTGAATCATTGCGAGACCACAATGGAGTTAGTCATCAGCAACTCCGCCGCAATGGCCACTCTCTCCTTTTAGGCTCTTTGGGTGTCCTACGGTTGTCAAATATCGCGGTAGCCGCCTCCCTAATCACTACGTAATGTGCCGTGCTGCTTCTAGCGGCGCTGGTGACAGTGCTGAAAGCTGTTGGGGTGAGTTTTTATAAATTTTCTTATTTTATGTAACAGTTCAATTATTTGTTTAAACTGTATCAGTAAGACGTTTATCTTCCATATTCAGTGGGTGTTTAGAATTGACCGGGGTATCCAGTACTTTGTAATACGCAGAGCTCGGGCCTGGGTGGGGGCAGCCGTATTTTTCCTCACCATAAATCACCACACACAAGGACCAAGCCGTCCAGCAGCATGCTAGCTAACTGTAGCCGCTATTAGCCACTTAGCATTTTGAACGGCCTAGCTATGTGGTTAACGGTACACAGAAACAACTCTGTATTTCTTAAATGTTCCTAATGTATCAAAGGGGCAACACTTTAGTGAAATGGCTGTGTCAAGCGTTAGTGACAAACGCAGTACGTTGATTGATAAGGTTTTAGCACGAGCTTCCGATCGCTTGTCATAGCTTCTTTGTTGTCCCGTCCTCGTGCCGTTAGCGCCGTTATCTCTGCGATATATTTGTGTATGTACAGATGCAACTGTTAGTTATTTCCGATTTATTTGACACTGATTAACTTGTTATAAGTGTACATCGCCCGTTAAATAACAAATGATCACGGTCCAGTCCTCCGTCGGCAGTCACTTCATATCGACCATTCCAAACTCTCATTTTGTCCGTTCAATCAAATTTAACTATAAAAATACCTGGTGTCGGATTGAAGTGCGCGGTGCTACCCAGTTCCACAAAACGTGATTTTACTAAAATATATTAAATATTTGTTTATAACTTCAATGCCGAATTTGTCGCGACACCCAGTGGTTTTGTGACAAGCCTTGAATAATGTTCTACCGCGTTACGCACTTTTGAGAAAACACAAAATATTAAAGATCTGTTTTCCTGGATGAAGCTTGGCATACTTGTCTCGCTGTACAAGAATGACGATTGTGTGCGTACTTTCCGTTAACGTTACGATCAGACTTTTAGCCACGTAAGTTACTTTGTGATAACAACTTAAATTGTGTGGTGTGATTAGTATTTGAGCTAAGTTGTGGTGTAGTGACAGTGTCGCATTGAATTAATTGACACGTAAAAGTTGGATACGCCCGGGGGTATGGGCTGTTTACGACTTTAGCGTTAGCGAAATGCTAATCTGTGTTTGCCACACAAGGTCACAAAGATGATGCGATTTATACTTGGCTGTTGCCGTGTGCGTTACTTTGATAAGAAACAAGTAAGAACGTGACACGTAACCCATCTCCGATCTTGTAGGCACATATATTTTAGAGGTTGGCATGTGTTGGAAATTAGCAAGCTCGCTAAAATGTGACGTTTTCGATAGAGTTGCATGCCGCAACGTGTTTGATCAGGCCATATTCCAGTTGAGGATGGCGGATTGCTAGGAAGTCACATGGTTGGTACTGTCAGGGCGGTTGTTGTTCGGGCCCAGACCAGGGTAGCACAGTCATGTTAAAGCTTGCTAGACTACAGACTTTATCGTGGGTTTATTAGCTGTTCTGTCGAAACAGGGGCAGCCTGTATGTTTCCTGGTATTTCTTGTTTAATGATTACCGAGTTAAACTGTGTCTTTATATTCATTAAAGTGCTGAAACGGCCAATCGGTGCTGGTGGTGTAGTGGGTGGATTTTTTTCTCCTCCTGCGTCACCAAAAGCTGTAAAAGGGAACAGGAAAGTGCATCTCCCCCAAGGTTGTTTTCACTGAAGAGTTGTTCTTGTTCACTGCTCATAACCTTTAACCCACTTCACCAATGAATCTTGTGATAACTGACTTCATTGTTTGACCTATCACTAGGATGTAGGATAGGGTAGCTTTTAGTCCCTGGGGGTTTAGTATTCATCTAAGGCTTGCAAATGTCAACAAAAGTGCTTGTTGGTTAATCTGGATTAATTTGGATATGAATATCAAGGAGACATCCTCAAAAAAGGCCCCCTCCCCACCACTAGGAGTCCCATTTGAGCATGTTTACAACGTTATATTTTAAAGTTCTGGGAAGTATGTGGGATGGGACTTATTGCAACACAGTCACAGCTGAATAGATATCATGTGTCCTCAGTTGGCTCACCCTGCTTGTTTTCAAAGCAGTGTATTTAGGTCAGCAACACTCTGCTCTAGCCTTATGATGGAGAGCAGTTTCTGAGTTTTTGATTTACATTTATCAAAATTCACACACATGGTATGCATACACATATAATTCACACTGATTGCTTGTTTGGCTTCACCTGTTTACTGAACTTATACAGTAAGTGTGCAAAATAGTTGTGGGCTGATATACAAAACAGAGGGCCCTGGTCAGAAATGGTGCCATAAATATCATGGCCTGAACTGAAGCCCTGCACAAGGACTTGTTGATCCACTGCTCTTACTTGCGAGGCAGCTGCCCAGCATTGTGGGCTGCATTCAGAGGCATCTGAATAAAACCTTTTTATATACATAGGAGCCTAGGGGCAAATAATCTCATGTTCTCAAAAAACTTGAGGCCACTAGTCTTTATTGATACTGTTTTTCATTCTCATTAGTTGACAGTGAAATCAACTTTCTCTGCCTCATTACAGACACTCAGAGACCTTTGGCCTTTTTTGTTAGCCCTAAAAGTTTGATCTCTAAAGTTGTTGTTAATCAATTTAAAGTGACAGTGAAAGTCATCGGTTTTGCTCATCTAACCACATGTGCTTTTTCCCCCAACAGTATGAAGTGAAACGGAACTGAATTTTTGTACCATCCGCAACTGCTTCAAGTTCAGATCATAACAAAGAAACTGAAGACAAAACTCCCAAAACAAGCAAAGTTGCAACACTGAAGACACGTAGGGAAAAAACGGATCACTTCAAGGGTTTAAAACGCACGAAGTAACCAAATCCTGAAACGACCAAAGAAGACGCACATCAGCCCAATTGAAACACAGAAGAGAAGCAATCCTATGCCCAAGCATATTCTGCGAAGACTAACTGATCTGAAACCAGAAGTTTGTGCCTACTCAACAGCTTTGACAAAGCACACGTCCCAACGCTGCTCCTAGCCCTCCTCATCCTCACCACACCACCGACTCACCACCGGGGTGTGGAGTGGGCTGCTATCTGCTAGTTTTACCTTCCCCCCATAGTTCCCCCCATCTTTCCCTTCCTCTACTTCTCCCACTGTTTTCATTGTATTTTTTTTTTCTAAGCAGTGTTATTGCACCTGCGTTTGCCTTTTTTGTGCTAGATTTCTCCCCTTTTTTGCTTTATGCAACCATCTAGAACTTGTGCCAGAAACCTGTAACAAGTGTGTGTGTGTTCAACTGTGTGCGTGAAGAGATCTGCAGGAACTGCATAGTCATCGAGATCCTGAGAATTACAAGATTCAAGACAACGAATAAAGGTGGGTCTTAGTTGGTAGTCGCTCTATAACATGAGACCTGTTATGTCAATCACAGCTGTACTTTAAATTTGTAAAAGTCATTTATGATATAATTTATCATGTTTTGATGGATTTTCTTCCCCAAATATACTGAAAATATTCCTCTAAGGGGGGTTAAGAATTGAGATAAAAACATTTGATACTGCAAGTTGGGTGGAATTCAGAAATTGTAACTAGTTAATTTGCAGTTTGTATACATTACTCTACTCTAATATACAGATGTATAAACACAGATTGTGTAACACTCAGCACTGATTCAGTTTGGCCAGCTGCACTGATTTTAGGCAGCAATGCAGAGGTTGTTTTCTTTTCGTCACTAAACACAAATATTCTGCATTTGTCCTCTTTGTCAAAGTTGGATGTTGTTCAAGCAAACAAACTGGCATGCTACTATTTTTAAAATGGCTTTTATTGAATCTGGATCTGGATTTGTGGCCTCATAAATTAAAGTTTGGGGTTCTCAATTTTTAAATTACATCTTCTTCACTGATTTGCAGCAGCTGATTTCACTGTTTAGCACACTTTCCAGGGCTCGACTATAAGGGTTGCCCCATTCCCCAGGTGTGCAAGTGGTAAAAAAGAAAAAAACACATTGCCTTTCCAGAGCCTGATAATGGAAATAGCTAAGGAGTGATCCATCTCCTCTCTGAGAGTTGCTCATGCGCAGTACCAATCAGGCACTTGTAAAAACATGGCAGCAGGTAAAGACAAAGTCTCTTAACTGAAGCTCGAGGGGGGGGGGGGGGGGGGGGGGGGGGGGGGGGGGGGGGGGGGGGGGGGGGGGGGGGGGGGGGGGGCGTTAATGGTGAACCCTACTGAACTACTGAAATGGAATATCAGTGAAAGCAGCTGCTGCAGTGTTTGTTTTGAAATGAGCCTTGTACATTATTCCTCTTTGCACATGATTAAGCATTTCTAATGTGAAATGTGTGTGATAAGTGATATCGTGTTGGAAGTTTGATTCTATCATGTGAGTGACCTCTACATTGCCATTTGCTAAAGATAACTCTTCTTAAAACATAAGCCAGCTGAACTGAACCGCCACCACCTCAAAACAGTTAAACTGGTTATTCAGTTTAGTTTGAGTATGATTTGATTGCCTTCCCACACCCAGCCCGCACCTTTTTCCTATTCTGTCGTTTTAAAGTCATATCCTCCCCTGGTTTTTGCCTTTTCAACTCCCTCCCTGGGGGATAAAAGCCCACACTTGTTTTCCTTTGTTTGTGACACTTGGCACACTGGCTGAACTATCTGCCTTACCCGTTATGTTTGTCCCTCTCTTCACCCTTGCAGACATCCAGCGGTGTATCATTGGGTGGTTACATAAAAAATAGAACTTAACAGCCAAGCCAAAAAAAGAAAAAAAAAATCAAACAAGTAATCAAGTTCAGCAAGTGCTCAAGCAAGTTTGGTCCGAGTTTATGGGAAAATATGGGCAGCCCCTGGAAAGGCTTTGTTGAGTTTACCTTGCCTGCGTCGCCACCCACCGCGTTTGTTAGCGCTGACCTGAGCAGCACCTCCCCTGTCGGACTCAGCCTGTCGCCATATGGCCGATCCGTAAGTTCCACCTTCCCACCTCTTTTCTACGTGCCCCACCCCATTGAACACCCATCTACCCACCTTGCCCTGCATCTCTCTGCTGTGAATGGCCTAACCTCTTTCATCCTTTTCGGGCTCCCGAGACTAGCCTCTACTCAGTTATATTGTTGCAGGGTGAGGGGTGTTCTGTGGATTAGACTTAACAACTCCTAAAGAGCCTTTTTTTTTTCTCTTTTCCTCCTTATTTTTACTTTGCGTCACAATCTAGTAAAACCTTAGTCGGCCCATGACACGACCAAATTATGTTGGGCTACTTAAATGCTTGTACATAATTTCATTCGATTCAAGGCAATAAGAATACAAGCTAAACTGCATACCAGTTGGCTCTGGTATGTAGTTAAAAACTGTAATCAGTTAAATGGGTAGTATTTAAAAGTACTAACCCATCAGCTTTGAACTAAAATCCTTCATTATCTCTGAGACCAAAAGTTTTTTTTCCCAGGATGTTTGAGAGTTATAGCCTCAATGGCAACCAAACACTCAGGCATGAGGCCCTGTGGACTCAGGCCTTTAATGTCCTGTATTTAAGGATGCTAAAGGATAAATGACGTCTACATGCAGCATATTAAGAGTAGCTCATTGCCGTAGTGCAGTTCAGGGCCTAACAGAAGAGGCTGCTCTGGGACCCCCCTCATAACCCATAACCCATCACCAACTCTCTGTCCACTGTAGAAGCACCGCTATTTGACCTGTCATTTGCATTTTCTGATCCTCCATCTTCAGTAGTTTTATTTTACTCGACCTTGAGTAACATTCGCGGCACTGCACCTAAACCACTTCACCTTAACTGGCCGGTTGGTTAGCCTAATCTTTTCAGTTTTTAGTCTGCCGCCTTCTCTGTAGAGCCATTCCTGTTTGGTTAAACTAGTATTTTCAATTGATGCCGCAACGTGAGGTTGTCACGGTAGCAGATCTATTGGTAAGAGGTGGCCTTGTGGTTTTCTGGTGACTTGGTGTCAAGGTGTCAGGATGTAAGTATTGGTGGTTGTGATGAGCTCAAATGGCATTAGAAAAACCTTTTGGATACAAGAACATGTAGTATATTGCAAAATGTATACATGTTGGGCCTCCAAAAATTGGTGCATGGGCATACACTGGGTGTTGTGTGAAATAATGGCAGATTAGTGAGGTCAAGTAGATAATACAGTATTTTATAACATAATACGGGATAACAACTGGTTTTGCATGATAACGACTTGAGAAATCTGGATAAGGTTCATTTGAAGAAAGGAAAAAAAAGTTAAACACTGATTGTGCTCCTTTTCAAAGCTGTTGCCTCCTCCCAACAGCAGATACAAGTCCTATCCCCAGTGTCAGAAATGGAAAGAGGCTCATCTGAACCTCCAGTGGCTCGCAACACTGGCTCTGCCCCATCTACCTCTACTGGTCCCATGCCTATCCCCCGCTCCTCCTCCGTCTCTTGCCATCCCCACCCAGGAAGTAAAAAACACAAGCGGACTCCTTTATATCAGAGATCAGTAAGAGGGCATGTTCGGTGGTGCCCACACTGACTTAACAGCCCTGTGAGCTGCTGTTGTGTCATGTCACTTTTGCTAACAGCATGGTTTGTAATTGCGTAAAAAGGAAGTGTGACCAGGGTGTAGTGGCAGATTTTGATCAGCGAGTTTTTATTGATTTTCCAACTGGTTGGTTGGTTGGTTGGTTGGTTGGTTGGGAGTTTTGATGTGATGTTTAGTGTTTGTCTAACTAGAATTGCATGAAAGTTTTGTCAGTGCGTAGCTGATTTGAGACTAAAATCACTCGACAAATTCAGTGAATTTTAACTGGAGGTGCATGACACTTGTAATAACACCAGCAAGCGCCATAAAGTGTCCTTATTGTGTTTATTCATTCTTTGTTTTTTTCTAGTCAATGTTAGATAATATCCTAAAATTCTATCACGCACTATCATCGTGTGTTCCCCTCTGTTGATGGCCAGATAGCCCAAGGTGACTCTGATGTAGCTTTACTGTTGCTTTATAATTACTCCTCCCCACTTCCTCCTGAAGTTTGCTGTACCTGCATGTTTAAAGTGGTTTTTTTTTTTGTTTGTTTGTTTGGGTTTTTTTAAGGTTGGCATCAAACACTGCATTAAACTGCGTCCCACTTTATTTTTAACAATCTGGTTCATGTTGATCCACTACTGGATGCTTTTTAACACTTGTCTCTTCTTCCCCAGATGAGTTTTGACCCTGGCATGCTCCATAACAATGGACACACTGCGTACGCCAACGGCACAGGGCCCGGCATTAGAGAGACTGGTGTGGTGGAAAAGCTCCTGACTTCCTACGGGTTCATCCAGTGCTCCGAACGCCAGGCCCGTCTCTTCTTCCACTGCTCTCAGTACAATGGCAACCTGCAGGAGCTTAAAATAGGAGGTGAGAGGCCCTGTACCTGTGCACTACTCATAAATACTTAACCTCTAGAACTTGTAGTAAAGAAAAACACTTGAGTTACAGTCCTGAAATTACGTTGTCCCTCATTTGAAGTCTGCTAAGTGTTTGCTTCTCTCTCCTCAGATGATGTAGAGTTTGAGGTTTCCTCTGACAGGCGCACTGGCAAGCCCATAGCAGTGAAGCTGCTAAAGATAAAGCCAGAGGTGCTGCCAGAGGAGCGCATCTCGGGCCAGGTGGGGCCAGACCTGCACGCCTTTCCCTTTACTGTGCTGCATGGTTATATTCATCCAGTTAAGGAACACCATTTTACTTTTGGTTTTGTCGTTGTCTGTCAATATAACATTTGATATTGCCCATTGTGTGTTTTGGGCAGGGGATGTATTGTAAGTAAACTGTTAAATGTGATCCCCCTCTTCCTGCATCAAAGTAAGAAGAAAAAAAAATTCCCATCAAGATCTGGAATACATTTGAGTTTCAGATTTGCTTTTTGCGCTGACCTGCATGTTTGCTGGAGGTGCTGAATGTCCATAGAACAAATATGGTCATGTAATTAATGAAATTGCCCAATGGGTGTACTAATTTCTCTCTGAATGCTCACAGCAACTAGTATAGCACAGCAGTTGGTTAGTTTCTCAAACCAAAACAAATCTTACGTGTACCCATCTGGTAAAGGTCTATAAAGAGTCAAATGAGCCATACACTGCATCATTAAGGTCAGCAGGGGACGACAGAACTGTGCCATGACAGACTTTGGTGCTTGGCTCTTTGTTGATGTACAGTTGATAACATGCAAGTGATGCTGCTTGTCTTGTAATGCATACACATGATACATCTAGGTCTGCATGTAGAGGACAATGTGACTCGACATGTACACTGATTCATTCACTCACTAAGCTGTTCAGTCAGGTCATCAACATGCCTGAGGCTGTTAAGGGGCCTGACAGTATATACAGATCTCACACAGAAGCGCAACCATGCTAACCTGCGGGAAGTTCACCACATTTGTGACACTTGATATACTCGTTACTGTGACATTTGAAATTCAGCCATTTCATCCATCACATGTCCAGAGATATTTGAATTGGGCTATATAATTACTAATGGACTGTCTACCTACGATTGGCAAAGCAGTGCGTTAATGGCCTCCATTTGTCATTTCCTCCTTTTTCTGCAGGTTGTCTCAGCAATCCCTGTGCACCTGGATGGAAAATCTGCTCCCGGCCAGGTGCCCACTGGCAGTGTTTGTTATGAAAGAAATGGGGTAAGTGGCATGGACAACAGCATGCTGGATTAACAAAATGCAGATTGTCATTCAAATTTTTATCCTTCCACTCATGGGGATTTTTACAAAGAGCACTCAATTACTTGTTCCATGCCTGGCTCGGTTTTGCTAAATACCTACTTACAACTGCTTCCACGTTATGATTTATGATGATGTATGTCAATGATATGCAACCATATGCTGTGGAGAGCTCAGAGTCTACATGTGTTCAATCCAGGCACACACGGTGACTGGGTAAATGTAGCATCTTGAGCCTCCGCAGCACATGGCTGTCTTTCCTTCATATTTATGATTGGCCTTGAATATGAAATAATTTTAGTTTATTTGATATGGACATCACGGTAGCATTAAAATTGTTTATTTATGCACAGGAACCAGATGGTGTTTAGTGTTTGTAGTGGAACGCGAATTTGAACACCTGTCCATTGGAGGCTTTTACAAGTTAAAACAGAAAAAAGAAAAGAAAATACACACTCAAAAACACATCCTAATAATCCATGTACAGAAATACATAACACAAAATGAAAATTCAGGTGCGCCTATAGTGGAACAATAGGCCTCTTTCCACTGAAGAAGTTCCTGGTACTATTTGGGGGGCAGGAACTTTACAGGAACGTCCTCTCGCTCGGCCCTCTCAACCGACGTGTCCCCACTGACAGTGCGGAGTAGGAGGAAGGTTCCTGTAAAGTTACCGGGCTCTGGATGTGACGTAATCGTTGCGTGACCATTTTGACCGGGCGATGCGGCAAAGAAACAAAAAAGAACAACAACAACAAATAAGAAGAAGCAGAAGTACGAAGCAGAAATAAGAAGAAGAAACTAGACATAAGAAAGACGATTATCAACATGGAAGGAGCTGAGGTGGTTGCTGGGTTTCTGGCGTGTCTCTTCGTTTATATGGTGGTGGAAGCTATGGACGACTCCTCATCTGCTGAGTTTTAAAAATGCTGGCTATTTTGTCGCTTTCTGTTGACGTCACATTCCGCCTTGAGTATATCCAATCAGCACCAAGTAAACCCCAAGCCCCAGCCAGGAGTTTTTCGGGGCCGTTCTGAGTACCTACTCCGAGGCAGGGACTTGTTTAGCCCCTGTAAAAGTTCTGGAACTCTGTCCTTCGGGAGTGATTCCTGCAGTGGAGACACGCACCAACGGCCCCGTAAAATTACCCTGAAGTTCCTGCGGTGGAAACAGGCCTATTGTTCTTTCTCTTTTAGCCCTAATTCAATACCTCCTCTTAAAACATTAAAATTGTGTTGCATTTTCAATTCAGTTGGTAGACAGATCTGTGGTTTTGCTCCTTTAACAGAAAGGACTGATCGCAGCCATATTCAGTTTTGCGTAATGCAATGTGGCAGTTACTGTTTGTTAAGGCCAGTGTGTTGACTCTATTGGGGTGCTGGTGTCTTGTAACAAATGTATTAAACGGAGATGGAGCATGACCATATAAAGATTTAAAAATAACCTTCAAGTCAGATTAGCTCTGTGTCAATAGGTGTGTCCACAACCCTTTAAAAAGTTTGCCACTGTTGTGACTTTCCACAGGAAGTGTTCTACCTTACCTACACCCCTGATGATGTGGAGGGAAATATCCACCTGGACACCGGTGACAAAGTCAGCTTTTATATGGAAACCAACAAGCAGTAAGTCTTTACACCATGTCAGCATTGTCTTAATAATTTCCAGTTTTCACTTAATTTTATAATTAATATTTCTTGTATTGCAGTACTGGTGCAGTCAGTGCTCGGAACATTCAGCTGGTGAAGAAGAAGCAAATGAGGTGCCAGGGTGTGGTGTGTGCTACAAAGGTAAGGGCTAAAATCATCACATGGATCTGTTTATATTAAACAGGTTAGACAGATTATGGTTATCTTTGTCATAGCTGACCTCACTAAAATGCAACACTAAATGCACTATCCAAAACATCTGAGAAGACAAGCTGTACACACAGCCCTGGATTTACACTCCTAGCAACTAGCTTGTTTGCAAAAGGGGCAGGGTTTGTAGCAAACAGCCTTATGTATGATGTTGGATAGCCCAGCATTATTATATCTGGTTTCATACTACAATTCCAACTATACAGATGAAAAGAATTAAATGTTTACTAAAATACATTACAATCTTTTCAGGAGGCTTTTGGCTTCATTGAGAGGGCTGATGTGGTGAAGGAGATCTTCTTTCACTACAGCGAGTTCAAGGGTGATCTGGAGGCTCTGCAGGCTGGAGATGACGTCGAGTTCACCATCAAAGACAGAAATGTAGGTGTTGACAAGCTTATTTAGCTCCACCATCCATAAATACCTGAGTAAATTTTGAACTGTGGATAGATCTTGACCAACTTTGACACCTATGTCTTATATATCCTGCCTGATTGTGTTTGCTTAACATTGTTTACATTTTATATTCTTGTGGCCACAGGGTAAAGAGGTAGCCACAGATGTAAGGCTGCTCCCCCAAGGAACAGTCATCTTTGAGGATATCAGCATTGAGCAGTTTGAAGGCACTGTCGTCAAGGTCATTCCCAAGGTTCCCACCAAGAATCAGGCAAGTAGATTACTGGTGCGGCGAAGTGAATTATGTTTTTTAGGAGGCCTTCTGTAAATCATGGACCTGTGACCCATCAACCAAGAACGTGACAATCTTTCAACTTAGAACTTACAACTTAGACTAATTTTTCATTTTTGCTTCCACAGAATGACCCTCTACCGGGCCGTATCAGTGCCAGGATTGGTTTCACTGACAAGGAGCTGCCATTTGGCGAGAAGGACACAAAGTCCAAGGTGACCCTGTTGGAGGGAGACCACATCCAGTTCAACATCTCCACCGACCGCAGAGACAAGCTGGAGAGGGCGACCAACATTGACATCCTCCCAGACACCTTTAATTTCACCAAGGAGACCCGTGAAATGGTGAGGATTACAAAAAAAAATATCAGTGGGGTTTTTTTTGTTTGTTTTTGTTTTGTTTTTTTTCCTCCTCCTGTGAAGTAGTCAATTATATTACGTAATTCATCACTATATAGATAAGAGAAATTAGTGATTGTAAGAGACATCCAAATTCATTCAGCTGAAGTGAATCCCTTTTCACAAACTATGTCACCCAATCTTCTTCTAGGGGGTGATTGCAGCTATACGTGATGGGTTTGGCTTTATTAAGTGTGTGGATCGGGATGCCAGGATGTTCTTTCACTTTAGTGAGGTCCTGGAAGAAAGCCAACTGCACATCTCAGATGAAGTGGAGTTCACTGTTGTGCCTGTAGGTCCTGTTTATAAGCTTTTCACAAAAGTATGTATTCTGTCTTACTACTTTTATTAGGCACATTTTAATCTTTTGCGGATAACAAGCTGAAACAAACTTCCTCTTGTTGCCAGGATATGCTGTCAGCTCAGAGGAACCACGCAGTGCGCATTAAGAAGCTGCCCAAGGGCACAGTGTCCTTCCACACCCAGTCTGAGCAGCGCTTTATGGGTGTGGTGGAGAAGGAAGTTGTGGCAACCACCAACAAGAATACCAGTCCCACCAAGGGCAAGGAAAAGGTACCATAGTGCACCATTATGACAAATATTCTACATAAAAATACCCCCAATGCATTCAGAAACAATAGCTCATAGTCCACCCCAATCCCCAACCACCATCACATCAACCCTCTTCCCAGTTTCTGTTTTAGTTCTAATTTTCCTCTTTGCTTTCTCGTCCAATGACTACCTCCTGTTCATGCTCCTTGTTGGTTAGAAAAAAGACAAGGTAGGACTGAGACCTTCTGCATGAAGTCACATGAATAAAGTCCCACAAATAAATGCTAGAGATGCTTGTATTGTAGGCAGATGTGTGGCAAACGCATACAATTGTCTGTGTATCTCACTAACATTTAGACTAAGAAATGATTGATTCCTAGACTGTCTATGAACAGTCTAAAATCTAACTCATGCAGTGTAAGAATACTGGATTTACAAGTTGTTGACAAGCCTTGTTGTCTAACGGGTCTCTGTTTCTCTTATTTTTCAAGGCTAAAGTTGTAGAAAAGGTTGGTCTTTGCAGGCCTCTGGCCCGCTGATTGCCTCCTTTGCCTCATTAGTTGACAGCATGGTATTTGATCACCATTTAACCCATAGACATGCACTCAAACGTTGTATCACTGATTGAGTGAGTGAGGGCTGCACAATTAATGAAGAAACAATAGTCCCAGTTTCTAGTATGGGTTTTGGGAACAGTGTCTTTAGTAATATATGTATCATAATTCAGTAACGTTCATTTTCCTTTGGTCCTCCCTAAATGATATAAGCAGCACCTTGAATAGTCACTTAATGAACTACTTTCCTGGTCTCAGTTTCTCTGTGCTCCTTTTTTAGCACTTCAAGACAGTTTAGAAATATTGTTGCACCCAAATTGATTATAGTAATTGGAAGTGGCAGCAAGAGCATAACAACAGATTAAGAAGCATAAAACAGTGTGCTTATTTTCTGTGATCAAGCAGCCTGGCAATCTTAATTTCTACCCCCAAAGCTTTTATTGGGATTAAATGCCTAACATGATAATGACAGTAAATTGCATGCTGTGATTGGTTCATTCAATTACTGTGAATAACTTAGACAAGTATAAATTATGTGAGTATTGCTGAAGTGTTCCCAGTGAGGCTGCAATAGTGATCTGTAATTATGCAGCCCTTCGTAGTAGGCTGTAACTCAGAGCTGTCGCAGTAGACTAGGCTAATGCTAACCATCTAGGCTGCTTCACAATAAATCATTGCAAACACTGTTGCCTCTCACATGCTTGTGTGGGCTGTCTGCACACCATCCTCTAATACACTTAAATCATCTGATTGAATCGTGAGACATTTGTAGCTTACACCAGTTTTGTTAAGAAACAGGTGTAGCATTGATTGAGACTATGGCCTTGGCTGAGGCCAGCTGGATCAAGCGTAGGTGATGCTCATTATCGGGAAGATAATGTGGTTTTTTGGCCTCTCTGTAGGAATCAGAGGAAGGAGTGATTGCATATGAAGACTGTGGAGTGAAGCTCACTGTGGCATACCATACCAAGGACCTAGAGGGAGGAGGATACCCACAGGTTGGAGACAAGGTATCTGCTGAGTGACACTGGGCTCAGGGATTTTGCTTAAGATTAAATGAAGGTGGTATGAAGGCTTAAAAAAAATCCTTATTGAAAGGAACATAGAAATAATGAACTCAGACAGTGCTGAAGAGGTGGGCAGTAGCATGAGGTCTGCTCCTAATACAGAAAAATGCTTTTAATATTACCCAACTTTTGTGGCTGTGTCTGTAGGGGTGATTTGGGCCTTGTTCAGACTGCCAGCCCAAATTGTGTTTTGTTTTGTTTTGTTTTTTTTTTTTAAATATGATTTAGATCATATTTGGAAGTTGTTTTGAAATGCGATTACAATTGGATTACTGCCGATGCGCCCCAGTTCAGCCACTATGGCCGCTCAAATCTTATTTCAAATTGTCTTTGAATGCAACACACACCATCAAATCATGACTGGAAGTGGTGAGTAGATCCATGATGCTACTAGCAGAATGCTAAAGTGGACTATATGAGGAACAACAGTCCATGGACAGACAGAATTATTTGAAGGGTGAAATGATGGACCTCCATTTCTCATGCTTCTGCATTAAAAAGCAGCGTCCCCATTGTTGCTAAATGGTTTCTGATGCCTATGTCATTATCACAACAACCCATGCAGATAGGTTGGTGATGTCTGGACACACAAGTCAGATCTGATTACTTGTAAATAACAGTGCACACAGTCTGTTTTCGAGACCTGATTTGAGAAACAAATCTGGTTTGCCTCCACTCTAAGCATAGCATTAGATTCTTTAAACTCACAATGTTGTTTGTCTACCCCCTGTGAGTGACTTACTATGGTTGTCCTCTAGGTGGAGTTCTCCATCAACGAAGTGAAGCGAACTGGCCAGCAGAGTGCAGTCTCCATTAGGGTCCTCAACCGTAATGCCTCCAATGCAAAGAGGCTGCTTGGATTTGTTGCTACACTGAAGGACAACTTTGGCTTCATTGAGACAGCAAATCATGACCAGGAGATTTTCTTTCACTACAGGTAAAGGTTTAAGTAATGGCTGCCTTTGGATGAGTTAGTTGCTGATTTACTTGTTTATGGCATTTAACTATCTGTAAATTTAAATGCAAGTCTCAGTGTTTATCCATTTTCTCCTCAGTGAAATGTGTGGAGACTTGGAGAGCTTGGAGCTGGGCGACACAGTGGAGTACACGCTCTCTAAGGGAAAAGGAAACAAAGTCAGTGCTGAAAAGGTTACCAAAGTGGCTGCAGGTAACTTGTCGTTTAAATTGACATTATTCATATTTGTAATACCGTGTTCTCTTATGGCGGTGATGGTGGGAATGCCTACAAACAAAAGGTGTGTCAAGTCCACTGTTCTCCTGTTTTTAGTGAATGGCATCAGTGAGGATGTTGGTGCAACAGTGATGATGGGGAAAGTCATCCGTCCCTTACGCAGTGTGGACCCCTCCCAGACAGAATACCAAGGGCTTATTGAAGTCACAGAGGAAGGTTGGTGTCAAGTTATGATGGGACTTGTAAATCCAACATTTGAAGTAGAGTTATTTCTTGGGGTTAACAGGGTATCACCTCCTTCTCCCTTCGTTATTGGTTCAGGTGCAACTAAAGGGCAGAATTATCCCTTTGGAATCATGGGTATGTCAAACAAGGCCGATTGTCTGCAGAAAGGAGAGCTTGTGAAGTTCCAGGTTTGCACAGTAGCCCAAACTGGACAGAAGATGGCCTGTTATGTGGTACCTCAGCGTAGAGCCATGGTGGAGTGTGTCAAAGACCAGGTAGTGATGGTTTATTGAAGTTTTATTAATGCTCATTTCATCACATGTATCAAAAACCTCAATGTTGAAGCTGCTGGTACTACAGCACAGGTTACATGAGTGCATGAATGACTTCCAGTATTGAATCCTGAAGTTGCTGTTTTATTGCCCCCAGTTTGGCTTCATCACATATGAAGTTGGTGAGAGCAAGAAGCTGTTCTTCCATGTAAAAGAAGTGCAAGATGGCCTTGAGCTCCAGACCGGGGATGAGGTGGAGTTCTCAGTTGTCCTCAATCAACGCACAGGAAAATGTAGTGCCTGCAACGTACGCAGAGTCAGGTAAGGACTCCAGAACCGGGTTTACCCTTTGGTTCATTTATTATTAGGGCTTATATTGTTGGGAAATATCCTGTATGTTTGGTAACATAAGATAATGACCACTGAGACCAATTATTTTTTGTACTTGGCTTTCCAGCGAGGGGCCTAAACCAGTGGTGACTCCGCGTCCAGATCGTCTGGTTAACCGATTGAAGAGCATCACTCTTGACGACGCCAGTGCTCCCCGCCTGGTGATTGTAAGACAGCCCCGCGGTCCTGACAATTCAAAGGTACAACCTGGCCTGTTGCCACATTTTGTCCGCAATATGAATGAAGCTGCTTGTCAGTGACCTGATTGTAATTCTCTTGAAATCAGAGCTCATTTTTGTATCAAATATTGTAAAAATAGGAATGTCAGCGGTTTATCATTAATCAGGTAACCTGGTGGAATATTTTTGACTTGTCACTCATGTTAGTCTAAAGGTTAATTTTGTTACACTTCAGTTTACTGCACTGCGCACCACCTAGGTATGGTGTGAGCCAGCTAGCAGTGCCTACAGCTAGTAACACTATCCTGACCAAACATTGTTGCTGTGGATACACTGTGCCCACCCTCTGGTCTCTCCTCAGGTCACTCCAGTGGGTATGTGACTCATTTATGAGCCTCAATCCCCATTTGGCATTGTTAATTATTATTGTCAGCTCTGTTAGCACCATTAGCAGTGTCAGCACGGTTAGTGGTGCTAACAATGCTAAAGGGATTTTGTTGCTCAAAATGAAGCCACTTACTCACTGGGGCTACCTGGGGCAGACCATAGGGTGGCCATCATGTTTTTGCAGCAATATCAGTGCCGCTAACTCCCACCCCTTTGGATGGTGAGCAGTGCAGAACGGCCCAAGCCAGCTAACCAGGCTGGAGGGTGTGCAGTGGGCACTATGTTTCCTCATGTTAACATGGTTAGTTAGTGGCTATTAAGCAAAATGAACTAGAACTGACATCCCTACTGAAAATACAAAGTTGTCAAGAAAACATTTCTGGTGGAAGTCAGGACTATTCACTGTATTATATTCTGTCTATAACATAATAATTACAATTGAGTACCTGGAAAAAATACAGGTAGTAGTTCTTCATTTATGTTGGTTACAACATTAATTTCATCCATCCTCTTCTTTACAGGGCTTCAATGTGGAGCGCAAGACTCGCCAGCCCGGCGTCATTGACTGAGCAATACAGAGCCCACCCTGTTTGGTGTTGGTGGGATGCTGTCCCAAAGGGTAACAGCAGGGGATAAGGGAATTTGATTTGACACATGCTTGTACACACAAACTCATACAGAAAACATACGCACACATACAGTAATCGGCATGTGTAATCCTCGTCCCCATCGATACCTTCGAGGGAACTTTTCTCATTCCACAGTTCCCTGCCTCCCATGTATGATGTACTTGATACAGAGTTCCACACTGCAGTCTACATGGGGTCTCTGAGTGTGTGCGTGTGTGATGTATCCTAGAAGTGATTATAGTGTGTAACGGAGGTTATTTGTTTCTGAGGGTCTTGTCCCTCTAAATCAGAGTGATGACTGTGTGGCTGTCTATGTCCCTATCTTTTTGAATCTGCTTTGTCTGGAATTCTGCACCTGTAATCTGTCCAGTAGTTTGCCTGGGTGAATGAGTGTGAATGTTTGCATGTCTTTGAGCATCCGCTCCATTTTTTTTCTCATATTTTTGCTCCTTTACCCATGGAAACTCAAAATGGTTTCATTGTCGGGTTTCCACTACTGTATGCTTTCCTACAAAACGCATAAAGCAAAGCAAAGTTCCCTCCATAAGGAGGATCATATTTCTCATGTGCGAGCTTAAACTGAGGATTCTTCTCTGCTCGTTTTTTTTGAGCAGTTTTTAAAACGCTTTATTGAAGAGCTGAAGTGAAAGCATGGTGTGTATGTGTATGTGTGTGCGTGCGTGAGTGTGTGTGTGTGTGTGATGTATGTGAATGTCAAAGTAGTTAATCTAATGGGATTTACTTTTACCAATCTGGAGCCTTTAGATACCTTTTTGGTATTCACATGCTCCACTTAAGCAATTTTTCCCAGGTGCAGAATTCCTTGTGGCATCTTATATCTGCAGTTCTTTTATACTATGTTTTTTTTTTTTTTTCTTGCACATATTTTTGCTTTTTTTTCCATTGAAACTCAATCTGCTAATATTGAATTAAGTAAGAATAAGGTGCCTAAAAACTACAAGCAAAATAATGAAAAAAAAAAAAAGAAAAAATTAGATGTAACCTCTGTTCCCAGCCAACCGCCAAAACATTCAGAACAATCTTAGGGTGGCTTTCTTTTCTAGTAGAAATAATACTGATATGCATCCCAAACCTGTGGGTTGAACTATACTGTATGTAATGTGTGCTTTTTTTGCTTAGTGAAAGTTCATTGAAACTTCAGATATAACAAAAACTTAACTTAAAAAAAGGAGAAAGGTAATGTTAGCAATTCAGTTAAAAAAAAAAAGCATTATGAATCCGGATACGAGTTGTTGTGTTCCAGAGACATGATGGGTGAGCTGTTGTGCCTCTGCACATTAAGTTACAGTCTAAATTAATTTCAACTTTGGAGATCACCGGGTTTCAGTTGAACCACAAACAGAGGTTCTCATGTACTTTTGTTAATGGTCTTGAATGAAACAATTGAATTAAAGTTTTATGAAAATCATGAGCTTGTGTAATTGTCTTTATTTTCAGAGAGAGGCAGCAAATCCGCTTTATTTACAGATAAATAAAAAGGATAAAGAGGCTGTGACAACAATTTATTGTGTTACACTCCAGTGTTCACTTAAGGACAAAAAAGTAATCTTAAAAAGACATTTGCAGAGATAAGACAACGGTTATAGAAAAGACAGGTGCGTTATGCATAGGTGAGCTTTCCACAGTAAGAAACACAGCCAAGGCCTATTGAGATGATGATGTACAAATTACCACATAAGAAGCTCAGTCAGTGGCCCAGTCCCACACCTCTAAAATTAATACTTGCACCAGCGCTCTTGAGGTGTGCTGTTGTGTATTTATATAATTTGAAAACGGTAAAATGCATTATCCAATCTCTGCTTGTATCCTCAGAGACAGCACTTTCTTTCAGCGTGAAAGTTTAATTTCCATTCAGTACGAAAAGTTAATCTTCTCTCAAAATGAGGGCCGAATCCCTAGAATGCACAGACGAAAGCTGTCCTCTTAAAGCAAAAGCAGGAGAACTTCCTTTTGTCCCTTTGTTTGCCAGAATGCAAGGTCACTTGGGTTGGATACCCAAAATGGGAGTTGAGCCCACCTGCAGATGCCATTTAAAATAGGAGTCTTCCTTTGTTGCCTGTTGATTTAATTAATTAACAGACAATTAGATTAATTAATTTTGTTGTTACGAAAGCATTTCCTTTTGGAGGACATTTGATTTTTATCCTCATCTGCCCATCTGTTCCCTTGCTGAGTGAGGACCACAGTGTGTCATGTCTAATACTTCACCTATTCACTAGGGGGCTCACTAAAGTAAGCGAACCAAGGTAAGTCTGTGTTACTATTGTCTGGCCTGGTCTATTGGGAGGGGCGTCACACTATGGAGATGGTCGGCCATATTGCTCGTACACATACGAACTGTTAAGTATTGGATACAAACAATCAATACAAGTTAAAACAGGAGGATCGGCATCTTACATTTTGAGGAATGAAATTACTCAAAGTCATGTACAATGAAGCATCTGTAATATTTACTGACTTAATATTTGTGACCTCTGCAAATTTAATTCTAAACCTTTGTACTGCCCAGATATATAGTGAGCTCAGAGCGGTGAATCACCTTCTTTTTAGTCTGTGTTGGAGCGCTCTGGGCTTGAGCCCAGCGTGTCCACCACTCCCGCAGCTCTGTGGGCCCTGTGGGCCGTCGCTCCTTTATCTGGTTGGGAGGAACTAGAGCATGAGGAGGTTTCAAGTCCCCTCTGGACAGGAACTTCCTGTTAATATTTACATCCCCATCATGTTCAGATTGTTGCCGATATCGGTCCTCAGTTGAAACAGCTGAAATCTCTGTGGCAGCATTTGCACCAACTTTTGAAAATATCTCTGAATCCTCATGAACAACATTGTGAGTTGCAAAGAAATCAAGCCCTTGCATTTTGTGCTTGTACTCCTCCAGTTTGGCCTTGCACCCTGCAGCATTTGCCTTCATGTCAAGGAACTGGCATTGCAAATCCTTCTCGTAACCTTCCTCAGCCTTTAATTCATTCTCCCAGAACTTGATCTGCTCCATCTCCTCTTCAACCATTCTCTGCTGGGCTTCCTGCTCAGCTTTTTTGGCCAGCTGTTTTTCCTCAAGCTCCAAAATCTGTTGGTCTATGTTTGCTATCTGGGCCTGTAAATCCTGCAAACAGCTGAGCTGATATATTATGGTTTCTCTTAGACGGTTTTTCTCATCCTCAGTTGCAGCACGGTTTGAATTGTGCAGGTCATCAGATTTTGTCTCTTGAGTTTTCTCTAAGCATTTGCTTTCCTTACCCTTTGTGTGAGTTCCCATGCAGCAGGATGTTTGATGATCCAAGTCTGACTTTAAGCCTTTCTGATCTCTGACTTTGCCTCTGCTACTTCGACCTGATTTACCTTCGTCAACAGTGAGACAAACACCCAAAGATGTGAGATACCTTTTATCTGTCCTCTTACTGCTTTCCTTATGACATGCAGTACTGTAGACCTTGCCTTTACCCAGATTCTCCAGCCATTCCCAGGCCTCCTCCATGAGTGTAAGAGACTTTCTTTTAGGCCTTTTCAGGTCCTCTTTTTGCTGCTCAGCTTCTTGTCTAAAACAGGACAGCGGCGGCAAGCTTTGACGATGCAAACTTAGTGGACCACTGCCCCTCCGCATTCTGGTGCCTGCGTCTTTTCTTCTCAGTGGCGGGCAGGGCTGGTATCTGCCAACTTTTGTCCTGCTCATTTCGTCCCAGACTGAGGGTCCGTTGTGAAGCAGTGTGAGTCGGACCTCCCTGGCCTGCTCACCATACTTCTCAAGAGTCTCCAGAAGGCTTTCGCCGGGTGCCATGCACCTCTCAAAGTCTTTAAATTTCTCCTGCAGTGTGTAGCGCCCTGGTTGACCTAAAGAGAAAGACAACATGGTGGTTGTCAGCTTGGTCAGCATGTCAAAACAAAAAAATAAAATTTCTTTGTAGAGCCTCAAATATACATACCTAGGGCTTGAGCCAGCACTATGACCACATCTTGGCATGTTGTTTCCTCAGTAACACCACAAACCACGCGCGGGATACCGTCCACTGTCACCTTCACTTCCATTGTACCCAATCTGTGATTAAAAAAGGACATTTAAGTTTAGTCAGTGTGTGGCATATCGTTCAGGGCACTTGTTCTATGTCAAGGGAAGTGGTGGAGACAGCTAAATGACCCCCATTAACATTCACTGTAATCTATCTGCCCATCATGTGCTGGTCAAGCTTCAGGGTAGTTAAAGCATTTTTGTAGTGTACAGTCACAGTGTCCCCATTATACTGAAAATAAAAATACAGAAAACAAACTTTAAATAATAATTAGGGCTTCAAAATAAATGTCCATGAGAAAATACCAGAAGCACCTACCTTTTTGTCCTGTCTTTAGTACAGATGCTCGGATCTCTCTGCTCTGGGGGAACGTTCTGGTTGGGAGGAGCTCTTAAGCAATTAAGAGCGATTAAAATTCCTGAAGTCATCTACCACTGGGGAACAGTTTATGATCCCACCCATCTCGCATAATTTCCATTATGCCTGAAAGAACAGCGAAATTGAATTTCTCAAGGTTTACATGAAATTGTAAGATTGAAAAAATAAATTAGAACAGCAGAAGAAATTTTGTTAGTCGCTGTCAGTACTGGAGAGGTATGAAGTATATACTGTAGCTCTAAATGAGGGTCTGGGTTTGAGTCAGTGCTTAAAGAGACTGTAAGTTGAAATTAAGTTTTCATAGGCTTTTATTTGTATTCTCATTATTCTCATTGCTCAAATCAATTTTATTGTGTTTGTGACCACAAGCGATAACTGTGGGATATTAGTAAATGTTACAAGACAGAGTTGTGCAGGAATGAGTCCCAAAATCCAGAAATGAATTAACATTTGAGCACCCCCAGTTCCTTTGTCTCAAAGTCAAAGCTGTTTTTTTTAATGGGTTTTTGGTTAGATGTCTGAAATAAGATCTGTGGTTAACATAAGCTTATATTTTGTTCTGTGACATAAAATATGTCAGTAAATATCCCACACATGAATTATAAAGCTTTTATGTGTCTTATGAAAAGCAGTTGCTAACAAGTGGCTAAATAAGACTGCATAACGTCATCACTTTGAAGACGGCTTTGGAGCCTTGCTGTGGTGGTGATGTTGAAGTCATGCGACCGAAGTGTAGTTTGTTTATAGCCTAATGTTAGCTTTTCATTTCTAGCAGTTGCATTTAGGCTTCAAAAATCATAAAAGTGGTATCCCTTTGTAAATCTTATCTTTCTGAACAATACATGTAAGCATCATAAACTTTTGTTTGCCACAGAACTTATTTCTGCAATAATCCAAAATCCAATGGAAAAATCCCATTGGCTCTTTGCCAAAGGAACCAGGGCAATGCTAAGTGAAGCAAATTTTCAGTGTCATGTTTAAGGCAGATTTCCCCACTTGTTTTCACCCCTAACTGCCCATCTAGGTACCTGTGTTAGCTTTAGCTAGCTAGCAACCTACAAGTCAACTGTGCGTTCGTGTGGCAGCTCAGTTACTGTCAAAACTTACAAGGAAGTCCATCTGTTTATATTTCGTTAAAACCCTCTCTTCTTTCGTACGTTAATTGCATTAGATTTGCAGCCTTGGGATAAGCTTAAACTTTTTCGCCTTTAAACTTATTTCAATTTCACTTTCACCGCCTCAATTTGTGCACCCAAAGCAAATCCACATGTTTTTTCCCCCCATTGTTTTTTTAAACTTCTGAAATTGACTTTGTGTTTCTTCTGAGCAGGCCTTAACAGCTGTACAAATAGAGAAGAGTCATAAAATCAACACAGCGAGTCAATGGTGTCAGTTACATAGCAATAAGGTTTGCTAACCAAGGCTAACATTAGTACATGAGCAAGCTACCACATAAAGGTGTAACGTTAGCTTAGCATTCGTATTCTATTTTATTTAAGAGTTACACAGTCTTGTTTTAAATCAGCTTTTATTTATATGACAGTGTATTGTGTGATTCCACCCAACTCCTACCCAAACCACCACCTCTGACATATGTATGTATATGTCACTCAATCCAACTCAGCAAGTTTCTACATTTATAAACTATTAAATTGAGAGATTTTAAAATGTGAAATTGCTGCTTTTACTTTTTAATAACTGTTATGGGCAAGTTTAAGAAAGCATCATCTATTTGAGGCAATACCTTTTGTGTTGTAAAATGTAATTCTTATTCTTATGCAACTTGCTGTTCCTGAAAACAAACAGGTCCTGTATACATGTATTCACCAGTGATTATGTGGTTGCATCGCCTTTGGATCTGGGTGCTCCTCTTTATCTCTCTAACAGGAAAGGTAATTACAGTCCAAACAGAACATGTAAACATGCTGAACTTGTAAACTGTGCAACAGGAGCACCCTTACTATCAAGCACATACGCATTCCTCAGTGAGTCTGTGCTGCCAAGTATTCTGACCTGTCATTCATTAAAA